ATACTGTTAACTTCCAGTGCTCCCTCAAACTTTGGAGTCTTCTTTTCAAAAGTGCTACTTGATACAAAAAAAACATTGATGAGAAAACAAAATCTGAAAGAAGAGAAAATTAATGCCGCCTTGATCTATCTCTTTGGAGGGGAACCATGCACACTTTGATCTTACCATCTGATGACAATTGCAACTCCAATAACAATCAGAACACGCTCCTTGCAAACGCAGGCACACCAATTGTAAGGTGAGCTTGGTGGAACTGTGGCAAACAAAGAATTGCCAAGGCTAACCCTTTCACTTCCAAGATCTCCTTACTGATTCTCCTTACTGTCTGCCATACAGTTCATATGATGTTAGTTTGGAGAATTTTGTATTTAATCAACCTAAAATCCCCTAATTGATATTTTTCTTCATTCTCATCAGTTGTCTGCTTGGTATAGTATTGATATTGTAAGGAGAAATTCTGTCTTGGTCACTCATGAGAATTTAAGGGCTGAGACAGAGAAACTTGCCAGAAATCTAGAAGGAAGCATCTAAGAAAGAGGTTATCAACCTGGGTGTGGCTCAAGGTTACTTCAATATTAGAACTACATAAGATATGAATCTTATGTAGTTCTAATATTGAACTACATAAGATTCTACATAAGATTATAGCCAACGAGGCGCTACGCGCCTCGTTGGCTATAATCATCTCGTATCCAACAAAAAAAAAAAAAAAAAAAAAAAAAAAAAAAAAAACGGCCAATAAGTGGTACTTGGAAGTGAAATACGTTAGACTGCTTACTGATTTTGCTTTTCCATTTGATCACTATATGTGGGATAAAAATCCATAAAACCCGCGTTCCATTCAATTATTCTATTGCAATCAAATCAATTAGTGATCATCTAAGTAGGTTACCTGTTAAAGACTGGATCAATTGGAGATGGTATGAAGAAGAACAAGATGTCAAGAAAACTCAGAATCAGTAGCACCAAGGTAGTAAAGATGGCTGTAACGCTTCTCCTGTGTACAGAATATAATTTAACGACAAGTTCTGTTGAGTTTTTCAAAACACTGAAAAATTGATTTCTGCCTATCATCTACACCAATTTCTCGAAGAGTTACTTCACCTCGAAAATGCTTCTACTCAATCGTAAAAACGTTCACAGCAAACTCACAGCAGAAATTATGAGTTCTGTAGAACACATGAAAATCCCTTGCAACGTCACGTCAAGATCGGGGACTACGTTACGATTACGTCACGGCGCTATCCGAAATAGGACTAAAACCACAGTTAGCAGTACGTACTAAAATTTGACGGAACCGTTCAAAGTCCGGCAGAAAAAAACATTAAGAATCTTTCGGAAAATAATTTTGCAAAAGATCGCTTAAGAATCAGAGAACTGGCAAGCTCAAAATACATTAAAATATGTACAACTAAACGACTTACCATGTTTATAAAATATTTTTCTGACCAATACATTGAGTTTTAGGAGTACAGTGGAACCCGGAAGGGGACATGCCATAGTGTCCGCATTAAGCGGGCTCTCAGAGAAAACGTCAGGGACACGTGTTTTATTTATGTATAAAGACCAAAGCAAACAATTTTTCGAGAAAACGTTTAATTTCTTAATTGTAACAGTAACAAGTTCATCCTAAAGAAACCTCACGATCATTTATCATAATCTCCGAGTAAAATCGTTTAAGTTTTGTACAAAAAAAAAAGGACATGTATTGTTATTCAAACAGGCATGACTGTGGATTCATTTGAAAATGTCTGTGACTTTACTTTGTACTGACGCTTTTAGTTTGCGACTCAGCCAAGTGGACTGAATATTAGACAGAACCTTTGAAAGGTCATTCGCCGTTTCTGATAGGTTTTCACCGGTAAGATATTCAGTCACGTCCTCCAGTATTACCATAGCTTCTTTCAGTGATTTGACTCTAGGCTCCTTTGACGCGGCATTGACCTCAATAATATCCTCATCACTTTCGTCGTCTGGTAGATTCTCAGAAGTGGATGCGGATAGACTGGAGAAAAATTCCTCCTCCCAGTTAGCGGTCATCTCGGCGCACGTTGGCAGAGTAGAATCTGCTTTTAAGGCTTCACCTCCGGAAGGTACATCTGTGCCAGATACGCAACTTGCATCGCGTAACAATGAGTTCATCTGCACCAAGTCACTATCTTCTAGTTCCTGGAATGGATCAGATTCTTGGTGTTCCTCAGGATGAAACTAGAGATTCGTCTTCCGAAAGAAAACCAGCCTTTATAAAGCATTTCTTAATAGTTGATTCTGACGCGTTTTCCCAGGCTTGGGAAATCCACCTAATGGCTTGGAGTAAATCCACAGACTTGGACACCTCAGTTTTGCTAACGACATGTGTCAGCATCAGTCAGGGTTTCATGTATTTTAGCTTGAATGTTTGAATTATTCCAAGATCAAGAGGCTGGAGTCTGGGTGTACAATAGACAGTGTTCAGATAACCAGTGTCCGTAAAGCGGGGTTGACAATATATGAGAGTTTGTGACTAGGGACACAAAAAAGTGTCCGTTGTCCGTATTATCTGGTGTCCGTATAAAGCGGGTTAATTTTAGAGAAAATATATGAGTTTTTTGTCGGGACAAACGAAACTGTCCGTATTAAGCGGGTGTCCGTAGAGCGGGGTTCCACTGTACTCCATTTAGGTACTCCATGGAGTATGGGCTCTGCGTTTTGTCGCCTCTCCGCGAGAGACTAATAATGCAAATAGCATCGACGCTAGTTATTCTTCGTTGAAATTAAGTCAGTCACTAGGTATCGTGCTAATAAAACGGGCCATGCTTGTGAAAACTTCAAAACCATCGAGAATCTGAAAACCAAGCTTTGTAGTTTTGAATTTAACACCTGAATTTGGCGGAATTAACTGACCTAAACAGAGTATTTGTAAGGTGTAAAAGTGAAAGTGATTCAATCAGCAAAGGCAACACTCATTCCCAAGACATTTCAATTCAATTTTGAGCTTAAGAGTGATGAGCAATGAAAGGGTATTAAGCCTCCTTATTCCCTTAAGATAAAAAGAAAAAACAGTCAGACAAACAAACTAAAGCTCAAAGACATTCAACGAGATTCAAACTACATCGAACTTTCCGTAACATCGCAACCGAAACTATGCAAAACAGCAGAAGTTTCGAGTAATACCCAAGTATGCTCCACTCGTCACCACTGTATTGAATCCATTAGGGATTTGATACCTGGGATGTGAAAAGTTATTGGTTTTTCAGTTGCGGTTTTCGGTTTTGAATGATTTTTTCTACGGTTTTGCCCCTTTTAATAGACCTAAATGACCTCCTAAGGGAGGAATGCGCTCAGTGCTGGTTTTTTTCACTGAGGTTGATCTACAGAAATTAGCGAATTGCTGAGAATAGTTCCTATACGAAATTCGCCCCATAGAGAATTGCACACAAATCTTGGAGACAGGCCTCTTTTAACCCTTTAACCCCCATAACTGATCAGGACAGAATTTCTCCATACAATATCGAGACAAAATCCAACAGTTAAATGATGAGAATATCAGTAGGAATCTAAGATATAGTATCATTGAACAGTTTTCTCTTATAAATTTTTTTTCGGAGGTGACAGATTGTACTGTAATGTGACATTGATAAACATTTAAAACATATTGCTCCCTTCTTGTCATGTTCTGTTTCTTGAAAAGAAAACGGCAGGAAAAATTTATTCCCGACAGAACTTTTGTTGAACTTGAACTGTGAAAAAATATGATGCGTCAAAACACAAGAAAAGAAGACAACTGCAAATGTTATGCATGGTAGTAAGCTAGGTTATCTTCCTGCACAGATCGCTTGTTTTATTCTTTTTGCTTTTAAATCTTGCCTTGTAAATTGCACTATTTCCTCAAACTGCGTAACCTTTAGTCACTGCCTTTTTTACAATTTTCTGTTTCCACACTTCTGTTGTCACTATGAGTACCTCTCACAGTTCTCCAAGAGTCTAAAGCAGGTAAACACTTATCCAGAATTCAAAAAAGAAACAGGAACCCAAACAGATAATGTCATTCCGGGTCATAGATAAGTTAAACCCTTTACTCCCATGAGCGACCAAGACAGGACTTCTCCTTAAAATGTCAGTACAAAATCAAACAGACAAGTAAGAAGAATAAAGAATATGGATTGAG